AAGGGCCGGGAGAGCAGATCGGATCAGCAGCAGGAGCAGCAGGAGTAGGAGCAGGAGGAGCAGCAGCAGACGGGGTGCAGGCCCAAGTACCTGAAGGCATCAAGTCGGCCACCACACCCCCTCCGGGGCATGTTCCCTTCATTCCTCTCATTCGACCAGCGTCCGGCCAAGCCCCGCCATTCGCCCAGATCCCTGGCATGGCCCCGTTCCTCCCTCAGATCCCCATCCGTGCTCTCCACCTCGCCCCCCCTGGATGTTCTCACCCCCTGGGCTTGCAGGCATGCAAGGCCAGGGTGGTGGCGTGGCAGCAGGTGATTGGTCGGAAGGATTCGCAAGAGTGGGGTCTCCTATGGCTCTGAGCGATCCTGGAGTGTCTGGGCCAGCTGCGAAGGCTGTGGATGGGGAGGTTAGGGATAGAGGTAGCAGCGCTGCAGATGACTTAGGGAAAGCAGGGGTAAGTGGGCTGGATCACAGGGTAGGAGCAGTGGCGCCTGTGGTCCATGTGGGAGACGGGAAGGCAGGTGCTGGTTCGAGCAGCAGCAGTGGTGGCGACGCCAGTGGATGGAGTGGTGGTGGGGTTACCGGGCCACCGTTGACCACAGTGACCCCGTTGACCCCGTTGACTTCCACTGGATCCCCTTTGGTGGGCACCTTAGCTGTGCCCCTGGCCAGGGAACCCCCAGAGGTGAGCTCTCAAGGGGACTCTCACAGATTCAGCAGCTATACTGCAGGAGCAGCTGCCGCACCCCCTGATGCCGTGCACCGCCAGCGCATTGCCACCGATTCCTCAGCTGCACCCGCCCCAAATAGGCCCTCCCCAGGTGCACCTACCCTGAATAGGCCCTCCCCAGGCGCGCCTGGTCAGAATAGACCCTCCCCAGGTGCTCCCGCCTCTGCCACTTCGATGCTCCACCCAGGTGCAGCCATCCCCTCGCCCACGTTTGGCCCCGCCAATCCCAGCGCTGATCCCTCAAAGCAGCAGCCGTTTGCCCCCGCTGCCTTCCCCACTGGGGTTCCAGGGGGCGCTGCTGCTAGCCCAGGGGGTGTGTTTCCCCTGCACCCCTTCTCCCGCCCGCTTGGCCCCCAGGCTGTGCTCCTGTCTCAGCTAGGGGCCCATCCAGGCCTCTTCCCCTCCTACGTCCTGGCTAATGCTCCCGCCACAGCGCCAGGCACAGGAGCCCCAGGCGTATCCCCAAACCCTGGAGCCACGGGGGGCCCTGCGGCTGCTGCTGCTGCTGCTGCGGTTGCTCTATCGGCCTCCCCTTCGCCTGGCGTGCCCGCACAGGCTGCAGGGAAGGCTGCTGCAGGAGGCAGTGAGGGAAGCAAGGCGATGCAGGTGCTGCCCAACCCGCAGCTGCTGCAGCCAGGGATGTTTGCTCCCGGGGGGCTCCCAGGGGGGTTACCGGGGGGGCTACCTGGGGGGTTACCAGGGGGGCTCCCAGGGGGGCCGTATTCCTTCATGCTTATGTATGCGCCCCAGCATGGCATGTTTCCGGGCAGCGGTGTGTCAGCAGCAGGGGCGGCGGGAGCAGGGGGTGGGGTAGGAGGGACAGGAGGAGCAGGGGTGGTGGGTGGGGTGGGAGCAGCGGTAGGAGGAGGGATGGGAGGAGGGGTGGGAGGTGGAGATGGAGGAGAGGGAGGAGAGGGAGGAGGGGTGGGATTGAAGGAGGAGATGGCGTCTGCATTGCCTGCCACTACCACTGCTGCCTCTGGCGCCTCTGCTGCTGCTGCCGCCGCCGCTACTACTGCCACAGCTGCTGTTTCTGGTGCTGGGAATGGTGTGAAGGGCGGGGCGATGGACAAGTCAAGGGTGCTGCAAGCTCTGGCGGATGGCAGTGGGGCTGGGGAGTTCCGCATGCTCAGAGTTGCCAGTGCCGGCAGCATTGACACGTCCAAGCGAGCAGCAAGCACCAGCAGCAGCAGCAGCCTTGTCACGAGCAGCGGTAGCAGCGGCATCACGAGTGGTGGGACAGCAGTGTTCTCTGATGGAGGCCACCCTAGAAGTAAACTAGGAAGCTCCCAGATCGTTTCTGCAGCCTCAGACCTGGCTGCTCTGTCTGAACCTGCTGCGATGGTGCGGTCAGAATCGGCCAAAGCAGTGAGGCCGACACCTGCTGGACTCTGCGCGTCTAGCCAAAGCGTTTCCGCCTCTTTTATTCCCGCCTCGGCTGTGCAAGCATCAACCGCACCAGCCTTGGACGTGGATGGCGGAAGAGACCCTGTGGCGTCTGTCAAGGCTCCCTCCTTCTCTTCGTCCTCTTCATCTATGCGCGCACGAGCAAACCCGGTTGCCGCAAGGGACGCCTCATCTTCCACACCTGGTGCTCCACGTGTGGTGCGTGGGAGGGGCGGCAGTGGAGGGGGGAGTGAGGGAGTGTTGGCAGAATCGCGCAGGGGTGGCAGTGGTGGGGGGAGTGAAGGCTTGCCAGCCGAGTCACGGGCTGATGCTGCTGGGGAAACTGCTTCCTGGAGCGGTGCGGACGGGATGCATAGGAGTGCAGCGGAGGGGTCCCAACGGGGCCATGGGTTGAATGTGAGAGGAGAGGGGCGGCAGTCAGGTGGGGGGAAGCAGCAGCGAGGGAGTGCGAGGGGGGAGGAGGTACGAGGTGCCGGAAGTGGAAGAGGGGAAGAGGGGGGTGGGAGAGGGGAGGGGGGTGAGAGAGGGGAGGGGAGCGGGAGCGGGAGAGGGGAAGGGAGTGGAAGAGGAGAGCATTCAGCACTCAAGGGAGCATTGGGAGTGTCCCAACCGCAGCAGGTTCCGGCTCAGGTCAAGCCCAAGCAGAGCCAGCAGAGCCTTGGGTTGAAGTCTTCAGCTCCCCTCACTAGAAAGGCTGGTGCGGTCACAGCAACTTGTGCTGCTCCTGTTGCTGCTGTTGCTACTCCTACTCTTGTTGCTGCTCCCGTTGCAGCTGCTGGAAGTGGTTCTGAGGGTGGTAATCCTAGTGCAGCTGCCGTCAGCCAGCCCTCTCTTCCCACTGTGGTCCCTCCTGTGATGCCATTCGGTGAAGTCCTCATGTCGCAGCAGAGTGCCGAGCCTGTGGAGCTGGACCGGCGAGTGCCGGAGCCAGACGACGAGCCCCTAGCGTCGGCGGACACAGTAACCGTCAGCTGGAGGTCGTCCTTGCAGCCGGGGGAAGGGAGGCAGACAACAGGGAAGCGAGGAGCGAGGGTTTCACACCAGCAGTTACATTTGCTTGGGTCTCAACAGCCAGAATCACCAGCTAGTGAGGCTGGTGGCAGCGGGGCGGTAGGCATTGCGTCTGTAAGCAGCACGGTCCACAGGGAGGAAGGTACGCCTGACAACGGGCAGGGGTTAGGAAATCCGCACAGCAACAGCCCGCACTCCTTGCAGCAGCAACATCCCAGAACCCCTCGGAGCAACAGCCCAGCAGCTGCAGCAACAACAGCAGCTGCTGCAGCATCTGTTTCAGGACCAGCAGGAGGAGGGGAGGTGGCACCTCGGGAGGGTACAGCTCGCGAGGGCCCACAGCGAGTGCGGAGCCTAGGGGGTGCGTCTCGGTCGGAAGACAGATTCTACAGTGCGCACCGAGGGGGGCTGGGCAACCGCAAGGGCCTAGGCTTGACAGCGGGTGCTGCTGCTGGTAGTGGCGGCGTTTCTGGTGCTGCTGCTGCTGGTGGCTCTGCTGCAGCTGGTGACGGGGGGGCAGATGGAATGGGGGGTTGTGGAGGGTTACCAGTCACTGGTGGGTCCGCTGGCGGGTCAGGTGCCTCAGGTTCTGGGGTACGCTCCGGCGGGGAAAAATCAAGTGGGGGAAGCTCTGGAGGGGAGAGATTGAGTGGGGGAAGCCCTCTGACCAGTGCAGGGGGGAGTGGTGGGCCGAGTAGCACAGGGGTGGCCGGGGAAAGCAGGAGCGGTGCAGGCAAGGGTGCAGCCTCTGCACCATCATCAGCAGCATCAACGGTGCTGCCATCGCTGCCGTCGATCTCTCCCCGGGCGGCTGGGAAGGGGAGTGGGGGGCCAGGGGTGGGCAGAAGCCTGCAGAGGGGAAGCGGGCAAAGCGGAAGTGGAAAGAGCAGAAGCGGACAGAGCGGGGGTGGACAGCGTGAGAGTGGCTCCCCGGTGCTGAATTCCCCTAAAGCGGGCAGACGAACCAGGTGATCCCTCTTCCTCCTTTCTTGGTTCCTCCCCCTTGACATAGGTATCGGGTGTATTTATTATGATACTTCCAACCTTACCTACCTTGGCTCTGACTCCGTGTTGTCCAAGTACATGCACCTGGCTGTGTTCCTGTGCGAATCACCATGGTGTAACCCATTACCCCACCCCACTAACTTTGATCCCCGACACGATTTTTGCATCCTCATTGCTCCTTGCATGCTGCAGGGGTGAGGTGAGGATTCTTTTTTTGAGGCGCCTCAAAAGGAGTCCAAGTTTGAGGCGCCTACCGTAAAAAGGAGTCCAAGTTTGAGGCGCCTAAAAAGTAGACCCGTGTAACCCCCCCCCCACCATCTTGATCCCCGGATCAAATTTTTGCGTCCTTGTTGTGCCTTGCATGCTGCAGGGGTGAGGAGGATGCGCTATATGAAATGAAGGACGAGGATTTTCCTCCGTTACACATTTGACTTTTGAGTCGACTCAGAAGTCACCTCGAAGGACGAGGATTTTCCTCCGTTACACATTTCCAAGTGACAACTTAGGAAGTCTCCCACCTCCAGTAAAATCACTTCCTGTGGCGCTTGGCCTCTCTAGGACGTGCGATGGCAAGTGTAACGTTGCTTATAGAGCCACCGGTTCCCTTCTTTGTTTCTTGTTTCTTGCTAGATGGTTTAGTCCACATAACGCCAGTAGTAGGCACTTGATCGTGATTTTTTCACCTTTGCTTTGTAACGCTTTACGTTTATAAGAACAGCTCATGCAGAGAGACAGGTACTGCGGGGTACTCCATATGGAGGATGCATCGAGTTATCTGAATCTCGGGAACCTCCCTGCTCAATCTTCACCAAGACGCTCCCTGGTTCAGCAGCTTCTGTCCTGTGGAATCCAACACATAACGGCGAGAGTCTGTCAAACCCCATAGTTTTCACCCTCTTCACCGAGGGAGTGACGAATATCGTCGCCAAGCGTGGTGAAGCCGTCGTTAGCATTTCGTTCTACACCATGCGAAACCAGGGCGGAGGGGTGATACAGTACGCCTCGCCGCCTAGTAGCGTCAACGCGCGATTTTCCCAGCCTGTAGTCCTCCTACCGTGCACCACCGGAGGCGGAACCACAAGACGCGTTCCTAGCGAATGCGTAACGGAATGCGTTTCGGCACGACGCGTTCCGTCAGAACGCGTTTCGTCTGGCCGCGTTTCGTCAGGCCACGTTACTACACGATGCGTTAGTACAGGATGCGTTAGTACAGGATGCGTTAGTAGGCAATGCGCGAGATCCAGGACCGTCTATCCGCGGCCTCGCTTGCAGAGCCACTACATTGCGCGGCCACGTGTCAGATCCGCCGCGTTTGGCGGTTCTGGTTTATTTATCCCTGCATTTGCGCGGTCTGGTTCTACTACAGCCGCTAGTGGTGCCACTGCCGATTGTGATAGTAACGGTAGCAGGAGCAACGGATATCGAGCCACCGGTATAAGAAACACTGGCAGGATCTCTACAGTGAGAGGAGCATCCGGTGATAGTGCTTTGTACAGCAGTAATGGCAGCAGCAGTAGCAGCAGGGGCCAGAGCCGTAGTACTAGTGACTGGAGTAACAGCAGCTCCTGCGGACGCGGGAGGTCAAGCGGAGTCGGGAACGAGTATGGAGACCGGAGCGACTATAGTAACAGCAGGAGCAGCATTAGTGACAGCAGAAGTGACAGCAGAAGTGGTTACAGCAGCAGCAGCCGCAGCAGCAGGAGCAGGAGCAGCAGAAGCAGCAGCGGCAGGGGCAGCAGAAACAGCGGGGCGCGGGCAGGGGCGCGGTGGGAGCATGATTTTTGGGAGGCGCTGGAGGGGGTGGGGCGCGAGAGAGACTCGGGGGATGTGTGGGCGGAAATAGTGGCGCAGCTAGGGGGGACGGGGGAAGAGCAAGGGGAGGGAGGGGGAGATGAGGGGGCCGGGGAGAAGGAGAGGAAAGGCGAGGCGTTGAGGAGGGGTGGGCTGGAGTTTGGGGATGGGGGGGAGGGGGAGGGGAAGGGGTGGGGGGGAGATTTTGGGGGGGAGAGGGGGGATGAGGGGGGGTGGAGGGAGAGGGTATTGGGGAGAAGAGTGGAGCCTGAAGCGGTTTTGGAGGAGCTGCATATCAGGTAGGCTCACAATCTCCCCTTAGGCTCACAATCTCCCCTTCGGCTCACAATCTCCCCTTAGGCTCACAATCTCCCCTTCGGCTCACAATCTCCCCTTAGGCTCACAATCTCCCCTTAGGCTCACAATCTCCCCTTCGGCTCACAATCTCCCCTTAGGCTCACGGTCTCCCCTTGCTGCCATTGGGGGTGATCTGGTGTGGGCGATAAGAAGCAGCCACGGCAGGGAATGGAAGAAAGAGGTGTGAGGTGAGGGGGAGAAAGGGGTGTGAGGGGGAGAAAGGGGTGTGAGGGGGAGAAAGGGGTGTGAGGGGGAGGAAGGGGTGTGAGGGGGAGGAAGGGGTGTGAGGGGAGGAAGGGGTGTGAGGGGGAGGAAGGGGGTGTGAGGGGGAGGAAGGGGGTGTGAGGGGGAGAAAGGGGTGTGAGGGGGAGGAAGGGGGTGTGAGGGGGAGAAAGGGGTGTGAGGGGGAGAAAGGGGTGTGAGGGGGAGGAAGGGGTGTGAGGGGGAGGAAGGGGTGTGAGGGGGAGGAAGGGGTGTGAGGGGGAGAAAGGGGTGTGAGGGGGAGAAAGGGGTGTGAGGGGGAGGAAGGGGTGTGAGGGGGAGGAAGGGGTGTGAGGGGGAGGAAGGGGTGTGAGGGGGAGAAAGGGGTGTGAGGGGGGCAGGGGAGCGTGAAGCGGTTTTGGAGGAGCGTGAAGCGGTTTCGGAGGAGCTGCATTTGTGGTGTGTGAGTGGTGTGTGGGTAGTGTATGGGTAGTGTGTGAGTAGTGTGTGGGTAGTGTCGTGGCATGAATTTTTTACTTTTGAGTCCACACTCAGAAGTTAGAAATCAGGTGGGAGTGTGTGAGTGAGTAGTGTATGAGTGAATGGTGTGTGAGTGAGTAGTGTGTGAGTGATTAGTGTGTGAGTGAGTGGCCTATCACTCACGTCTTCTCCCCCCCTGCCCCTCCCCTTCCCAGAAACTTCGCCCTGGTGGAGCATCAGGTGGTTTCGTTCGCCCCCGGCTTCAACGTCATCACGGGCGACAGCGGTTCGGGCAAGTCCATCATCGTGCAGGCGATAGCTCAGGTGAGGTCTAGGTCTGGTTTATAGCAGAGGCGTGGCTGTAGCACAAGTGAGGCTGTAGCACGGGTGAGATTGACCCCCGGCGTCGATGCCATCACGGGGGACTGCGGGTCGGGCAAGTCCATCACCGTGCAGGCCATAGCTCAGGTGAGGTTAGATGCAGGCGATAGCCCAGGTGAGGTTAGATGCAGGCGATAGCCCAGGTGAGGTTAGATGCAGGCGATAGCCCAGCTGACGTTAGATGCAGGCGATAGCCCAGGTGAGGTTAGATGCAGGCGATAGCCCAGGTGAGGTTAGATGCAGGCGATAGCCCAGGTGAGGTTAGATGCAGGCGATAGCCCAGGTGAGGTTAGATGCAGGCGATAGCCCAGGTGAGGTTAGATGCAGGCGATAGCTCCCGTGAGGTTAGATGCAGGCGATAGCTCCCGTGAGGTTAGATGCAGGCGATAGCCCAGGTGAGGTTAGATGCAGGCGATAGCCCAGGTGAGGTTAGATGCAGGCGATAGCCCAGGTGAGGTTAGATGCAGGCGATAGCTCCCGTGAGGTTAGATGCAGGCGATAGCTCCCGTGAGGTTAGATGCAGGCGATAGCCCAGGTGAGGTTAGATGCAGGCGATAGCCCAGGTGAGGTTAGATGCAGGCGATAGCTCAGGTGAGGTTAGATGCAGGCGATAGCTCAGGTGAGGTTAGATGCAGACGATAGCTCAGGTGAGGTTAGATGCAGGCGATAGCTCAGGTGAGGTTAGATGCAGGCGATAGCTCACGTGAGGTTAGATGCAGGCGATAGCTCCCGTGAGGTTAGATGCAGGCGATAGCTCAGGTGGGGTCAAATGCAGGTGAGGGCAGGTGAGCGCAGGTGAGGGCAGTGTAAGTTTCAAATCTCCTCTGATCTTTTCCTCTCATCCTCTCCTTTCCCCCTCTCCCTCCCCCCCCTCTCTAAGGTGCTGGGAGCAGCGGCATCAGAGGACTCTGTGCGGCCTCCGGCCCTCTCCTCCTCCCTCTCCGCCCATCTCTCCCTCTCCGCCTCCGCCTCTCACTCCCTCCTGCAACTGCTCAGGCAGGAGGGCCGGCTGGATGTGGTGAAGGCCGTTTCTGGGGGAGGGGATGGGAGGGTGAATGTGGTTTTAGAGAGGGAGATTTTCCGCTCTGTTTTGCCTACTGAGGCTGATAACGAGTCTGACGAGGATGCTAATAGCGAGGTCAAGGCAGGAGGGGGTCCTGGTGGTGGTGGCAGCAGCAGCAGCAGCAGCAGCAGCGGCGACGGCAGAAGATGGGCCAAGCAGAGCGGCAGCAAGAGCAGCAGCAAGAGCAGGAGCAGGAAGGCAAGGAGCGCGTGCCGGGTGAACGGGGTGGCAGTACCTCTAAGGCTGCTGCGCGCCGTGGGGGCGGCTGTGGTTGACCTTAACGGGCAGAACGCACAGGGAGCGCTGAGGAGCGAGGCCGCTCAGCTGCTGCTGCTGGATCGATTTGCAGGGAGGGTCCAGGGTGGGGGTGAGGGTGGGGGTGAGGGTGGGGGTGAGGGTGGGGGTGAGGGTGGGGGTGAGGGTGAGGGTGAGGGTGAGGGTGAGGGTGAGGGTTTGCGCGAGGGCAGTGATGTGGGCGTTAGTACTGGTGAAGCAGGGGGAAGGAGAGGGATGGGGCTGTATGGCGAGTGGGAGCAGGAGGAGGGGATGGGGAGAGTGGATAAGGGAGGCGAGGAGATGAGGGAGAGGGGTGAGGAAGTGGAGAGAGGGGGGAACGGCAGAGAGGAGCAGGGAGGAGGGGAGGGGGTGGAGGTGGGGGTGCTGCTTGCGAGAGTGCAGCAGATGTGGGAGGAGCAGAAGAGACTGCAGGAGGCTGGGGGGGAGCAGACGCTGTCAATGCTGCAGGAACTGGTAAGCGAGGTCCCCAGGAGTCTAGTTTTGAGGTGCCTCAAAGCTAGAACCCAGGAACCCCTGGGTTCCTGGAATGTCGCATCCCGAGGGGCCAGTGGTTTCCGGGGTGTGGGGTCCCCCTGGGTCCCGAGGTGGGGGGGGGTTTCAGTTCAGGGGTGTCGGGGACTGGTAAAGAAGGGAGCTCAGAGTTCTCAGAGGTGCTGAGCAGGCGCTGATGACGCTGCAGGAGCTGGTAAGGGTGTGGGCAATGGGGGGGTATGGGAGGAGATCGAAGACCACTTCCGGATGATAGGAGTCTAGTTTTGAGGCGCCTCAAAACTAGACTCCTATCACGTGGTAAGGGTGTGGGCAATGGAGGATTATGGGAGGAGATCGACGACCGATTCCGGACTCCTTTCTTCTTCCCACACAGCGCAGCGTCGTATCTCCCTTCTTCCCCTCCCTTCCCACTGCGCTTCAGGTGGATGACGTGGAGCGGCTAGGCGTGAAGGAAGGGGAAGTGGAGGCGATACGAGAGGAGATCAAAGCCCATGAGAGGGCGCTGAGAGCCGCAGAGAGCTGCAGCTGTGCGCACGAGTTCCTAGAGGGGGCCAGCAGCTGTCGGCGTACACACGAGTTCCTAGAGGGGCCAGCAGCTGCAGGCATGCTGCACGGGCTCACCAAAGCCTCACAGCCCCCCACCTCTCCCCCCCCTCTTCGTCCATTCTGCCCCTCGGGTGGATGACGTGGAGCGGCTAGGCGTGAAGGAAGGGGAAGTGGAGGGAATCACGGAGGAGATCAAAGCCCATGAGAGGGCGCTCAGAGCAGCACAGCGTCGTATCTCCCTTCTTCCCCTCCCTTCCCACTGCGCTTCAGGTGGATGACGTGGAGCGGCTAGGCGTGAAGGAAGGGGAAGTGGAGGCGATACGAGAGGAGATCAAAGCCCATGAGAGGGCGCTGAGAGCCGCAGAGAGCTGCAGCCGTGCACACGAGTTCCTAGAGGGGTCTGCGGCCTTAGGGGTGGTGCAGGGCCTTACCAAGGCTGCAGAGGAGCTTAGGGAGGTGGAGGAGGAGGAGCAGGAGGAGGAGGAGGGGGCGCGGGATGGGGAGGAGGAGGAGGGGAGTGGGAGGAAGAGAGGAAAGGGGAGGGCGGGGGGGTTCGTGCAGAGGGGGCGGCTGGCGGATGTGTCGGCGGCGTTGGAGCTGCTGGGGGAAGCCAAGATGCTGGTCAACAGAGCGGTGAGTGCTGGGTTTAGAGCGGTGAAGAGTGGTGCACGTGCAGAGGGGGCGGCTGGCAGATGTGTCGGCAGCATTAGAGCTGCTGGGGGAAGCAAAGATGCTGGTGAACAGAGCGGCGAGTGTTGGGTTTAGAGCGGTCAAGAGTGGTGTACGTGCAGAGGGGGCGGCTGGCAGATGTATCGGCAGCATTAGAGCTGCTGGGGGAAGCAAAGATGCTGGTGAACAGAGCGGCGAGTGCTGGGTTTAGAGCGGTGAAGAGTGGTGTACGTGCAGAGGGGGCGGCTGGCAGATGTGTCGGCAGCATTAGAGCTGCTGGGGGAAGCAAAGATGCTGGTCAACAGAGCGGTGAGTGCTGGGTTTAGAGCGGTCAAGAGTGGTGTACGTGCAGAGGGGGCGGTTGGCGGATGTGTCGGCAGCATTAGAGCTGCTGGGGGAAGCAAAGATGCTGGTCAACAGAGCGGTGAGTGCTGGGTTTAGAGCGGTCAAGAGTGGTGTACGTGCAGAGGGGGCGGCTGGCAGATGTGTCGGCAGCATTAGAGCTGCTGGGGGAAGCAAAGATGCTGGTCAACAGAGCGGTGAGTGCTGGGTTTAGAGCGGTCAAGAGTGGTGTACGTGCAGAGGGGGCGGTTGGCGGATGTGTCGGCAGCATTAGAGCTGCTGGGGGAAGCAAAGATGCTGGTCAACAGAGCGGTGAGTGCTGGGTTTAGAGCGGTCAAGAGTGGTGTATGTGCAGAGGGGGCGGTTGGCGGATGTGTCGGCAGCATTAGAGCTGCTGGGGGAAGCAAAGATGCTGGTGAACAGAGCGGTGAGTGCTGGGTTTAGAGCGGTCAAGAGTGGTGTACGTGCAGAGGGGGCGGTTGGCGGATGTGTCGTCAGCGTTGGAGCTGCTGGGGGAAGCCAAGATGCTGGTCAACAGAGCGGTGCGTGGTGAGTTTAGAGTGGTGAAGAGTGGTGAGTGCTGCTGTGATTAAAGCAGTGAAGAGCGTTGAGTGGCGTGAGTACAGCGGTGAAGAGCGGCGAGTGCTATTTGGACGGCTTGTGGTTTGACTGTGCCATGTGCACCCCATACACCGCACTGCACCCTGTCCCATTCCACCCAATACCACTCCATTGCACCGCTCTGAACCACACCAGAAGGACCACGTGGAGTGCTACTTGGACGACCTGCGGTTCTCAAAGGAACGCATAGACCGACTCAAGAAGCGGCTGAGAGAGGTGAGGTGGGGTGCTGGGTGTTGATGAGGGGTGCTGCTGAATAAGGGGAAGGGGAATGGGAAATGTGAGGAGCAGGGAAGAGAGGGATTTCTCAAGTTGACATGTAAATGGCTACTGCTCTTTGGACACCCCCTTCAGACTAGAGTTTGTTTCTGCCTTCTGCTCTTGTGTAATGAGTCGACTCAAAATGACTCATTACACACGGAGACTAAAAAATCGACTCATTACACACGGAGTCGACTCAAAAATTGACATTACACACGGAATCGACTCAAAAATCGACTCATTACACACGGATTCGACTCAAAAATCGACTCATTACACACGGAGTCGACTAAAAAATCAACTCATTACACACGGAGTCGACTAAAAAATCGACTCATTACACACGGAGTCGACTCAAAAATCGACTCATTACACACGGAGTCGACTCAAAAATCGACTCTTTACACACGGAGTCGACTAAAAAATCGACTCATTATTACACACGGAGTCGACTAAAAAATCGACTCATTACACACGGAGTCGACTAAAAAATCGACTCATTACACAAGGAGTCGACTAAAACATCGACTCATTACACACGGAGTCGACTAAAAAGTCGACTCATTACACGCGGGGTCGACTCAAAAATCGACTCATTACACACGGAGTCGACTAAAAAATCGACTCATTACACACGGGTTGTTTCTGCCATCTGCTCTTTCCTCTCTGCCCTCTGTGCTGCTGTGCTGTGCATGCCGGCAGATAGAGGTCGTTCGCAGGCGCCACGCCATTCGAACTGCATCTGAGCTCTGGTCTGCCGCCCAAAAAGCGGCAGATCAGATCTCCAGCTCAGGTGAGCTTGTGGTGGAAGTGGGGGTGGCAATGTCGAGAAAAGGGGATGTTGATATAGGATGCTGTGGTGCTCGTTTGCACTTGATTTTTTCCTTAAAAAAACGATGATGATGTTGCAATTTTGGATATATGTACCTTTTGTTCCCTACCCCATGGGCCTGGTTTCCCAAGCTCATCCCCCCACCATCACCTGCCAAAGATTCCATCCTCTTTCATTATAAGCTCCCTCCTTCATCCCCTCATTTGTCTCCCCATATTTCCACTCCCTCGGTTCCCCCTGCCTCATACCCCTTTTCCCTTGATCCCTTGCTCTCTCCTTGTTATCCTTTTTTCTTCTCCTTTTTTGTTACCACGACAGGGAGTGTGGAGAAGAGGCGACGAGAGCTACAGGACGAAATGAACCGCCTTGCAGCGGAGATCGGGCGGCAGTTTCTGGCAGCTAGCAGGAGGAGGCGGGTGGCAGCGGAGGGCCTGGGGGAGAGAGTGGAGGGCGTGCTGAGAGGGCTGGAGATGGGTGCTGCGCGGTTCAGAGCGGTGGTGGCGTGGGTAAGCAGGGAAACGGCGGTATTTCACAGGTGGTGTGAAATTCAGGAGGGCCCTTATTCACTCCACTCCCCTCGTTCAGAAAGGTACTACAGAAAATAGCAGTGGTTGCTTTTGAGGCGCCTCAAAAGCATTCCCCTCAGTTCAGGAAGGTACTACAGAGAATAGCAGTGGTTGCTAGGCTCCCCTTCGTTCCTCACCTGCCTCCCCTTTTCCCCCACCCCGTCCCCTCTTCCCCCACCCCCTCCCCTCTTCCCCCACCCCTTCCTTCCCCTGCGGCCTGGCCCCCTCCCTGCTTCCCTTCCTTCCCTCCCCTTCTCCACCCCCCCAAATTCTTCTCCACAACCCCCCGCTTGCTGCCTCTCCCCCTTCCCCTCGCTGCAGGAGCCCGGCATTCCACATGCCTACAGTGCAACGTCAGCTTCCCCCGGCCAATCACAGCTGAGCATGGAGGGGTCGAGGAGGGGGGGTGGAGGAGTGGGAGTGAGGGAGGGGGGGAGTGTGGGGGGGAGGGGAGCTGGGCGGAGGGGGAAGGAAACACAGTGGGAGGAGGAAGAGGACGAAGAGGACGAAGAAGGGGAGGAGGAGGAAGAGGAGGAAGAGGAGGAAGAGGAGGAAGAGGAGGAGAGGGGTCAGCATGAGGGGTCGGAGATATTAGTGGATGAGGGGCTGATTCGAGTGGAGGGAGCTGAGAGCGTGGGCGAGAGGAGCGATGTATTTTACCGATACAGCAGCACGGGCATGGATAGGGTGGGTGGGGTGAACATGGTAAATTCCACATCTAGGGTGCCGATAGCGCAACCTATGTGCTTGTGCTGATTTCTCGTGTCAGCCCTAGAAGTTCGTTGATGGTGCTTGCAAGTCCAAGCAACGGAATGCTATCAGTTTTCTGGCATTCTCAAACCATCCTTCCCCCCCGGCAGGTGGTGTTTCAACTGTCAGCCAATCCCGGGGAGCCTCTTTTGCCGCTCTCCCAGGTGGCGTCGGGCGGGGAGTGCTCGCGAATCATGCTGGGTGGGTGGGTCCAGTTGAGCGCTCGATGGGGTGATGATCATGAGTGGGTCGATGATGCTGCTGCGTGGGTGGGATGATGGGGCGCTGGATGGGCTGGTTGATGATCAGCCACTTGCCACCCGCCACTGGTTATGTGCATCTCAGAGGTCAATGTGTTATCTGTGCATTTCAGAGGTCAGGTTAAGTATGCACGGATTGGCTGATGATCAGTCACTGGATATGGGGACAATCCGCCAATGTGCTATCTGTGCATTTTAGAGGTCAAGCCGAGTATTGGGTCTCGCAAGTTAAGGGTGAACGCCCCTTACGTTCCCCCTTGGCGTCCCCCCTTGGGGGCGTTCGCCTTCCAGTTTTGAGGCGCCTCAAAACTATTCTCCCCTTCGTCCCCCTCAAAACGTCTTTGTTCACTTTCCTTCGTCCCCCTCTCCTTTGACCCCTTTCCTTCAGCACTGAAAATCATTGCAGCCACAACTGCCACCAGCACCACCACCGCAGATACAACCTCCACCAGTACCACCTCAGATAACACCTTCACCAGCACCACCTCCCCATCATCCTTGGCAACAAGCAGCACCAGCCATGATCTCCCAGCGGCCAATGGGAGCACACCAGGGGTCAGCGTGTCGGTGTTTGATGAGCTGGACAGCGGTGTTGGCGGCCGAATCGCCTCCCGATTCGCCCTCGCCCTGCGCCACCTGTGCAGACAGGGTAACCAGGTGAGGGAACAGGGTAACCAGGTGAGTGTACCTAGAGTTAGGGGTAACCAGGTGAGTATAGTCAGGGGTGACCAGGTGACTATTTTTCGAACAGGGGTAATGAGATGAATATTCTTCGAACAGGGGTAACCAGGTGGTGAGTGGAGCGGGTAACCTGTGAGTAGACAGGATAACCAGCATGCACTTTAGCGCACCTCCTCTCTTTCTCTCTCGCTTCATTCCCCAACCCATGTGCTTCATCTTTATTCCCCAACCCATGTGCTTCATCTTCATTCCCCAACCCATGTGCTTCATCTTCATTCCCCAACCCATGTACCCCGTGCCACCAGCTCATCTGCATCACTCACCTGCCCCACGTGGCAGCGCACGCTGCCTCGCACATGCACCCATGGTAGCTCGCTGCCTCGCACATGCACCCATGGTAGCACGCTGCCTCGCACATGCACCCATGGTAGCACGCTGCCTCGCACATGCACCCATGGTAGCATGCTGCCTCGCACATGCACCCATGGTAGCATGCTGCCTCACACATGCACCCATGCTAGCACCCTTATCATCTTCCTGTGTCCCTCCCATCCACCACATGCCACCCACCACATGCCACCCAAGAGGTGATCTGCGCCAGGCACCTCCCCCAGGTGGCACCGTGGCAGTGCACACACCGACTCGCACGTCAGCAACGCGTGGATGAAGCCGATGGGCGCTTAAGAACTCCCCTCATCATTCACTCCTTTGCCCTACCCATGCACCACGTACCACATGGCTCATTTATGGTCTGTGGCAGTGCACGCCGACTCGCACATGCACCCGTGGTAGCACTTGCACCCTTACCTTTTCCCCCGTGTCCTACCTGTCCACCACGCACCACCTGCCATCCACCACATGCCACCCACCAGGTCATCTGCATAACCCACCTCCCCCAGGTGGCAGTGCACGCCGACTCACACATCAGCGTGAGCAAGCACGTGGACGAAGCGATTGGATGTGCCGATTCCTTTCCACTTTTGCCCTACACATGCACCACATATCACATGGCAGGTGATCTGCATCACGCATCTCCCCCAGGTGGCGGTGCACGCCGACTCGCACATCAGCGTGAGCAAGCACGTGGACGAGGCCGATGGGCGCATGCGCACCACTGCTGTCCGACTCACAACCCTGGAGGAACGGGTGAGGCTTAATGAGGCTCAAGGAGGGGTGAGGGGTGGTAAGCGATGGTGACATGACGGGATAGGAAGGATAGGCGCATGCGCACCACTGCTGTCGGAATTTCGACCCTGGAGGAAGGGGTGAGGTCAAAAGGAAGGCACGGGTGGGGTGACGAGAGGTGTAAGGCTAGGACGCGAGGGGGAGCAAGCACGTGGACGAGGCGGATGGGGGCATGCGCACCATTGCTGTCCGACCCACAACCCTGGAGGAACGGGTGAGGCTGACGAGAGGTGTGAGGGTTGGGGAGTGAGGGTGAGCAAGCACGAGGACGAGGCGGATGGGCGCATGCATGGGCACCAATGCTGTCCGACTCACAACCCTGGAGGAATGGGTGAGGCTGGGAGGGGCACAGGCTGTAGGATGGGGCAAGTTTGAACGAGGCTGTAGGGCAGAGCGAGGCCGACGGGCGCATGCGCACCACCGCTGTCAGACTCGCAACCCTGGAGGAACGGGTAGGTCAAAAGGGAGGCACGGGTGGGCTGACGAGAGGTGTAAGGGTTGGGGAGTGGGGGTGAGCACGCACGTGGACGAGTCCGATGGGCGCATGCGCACCACTGCTGTCCGACGCACAGCTTTGGAGGAACGGACAGGTCGTGGAAGTTAGTAAATGAGGGCGAAGTTGTCAGACTGACATGCCTGGTAGAGCTGGTAAGACTGGAAGGCGTTAACTCTGTTTTTGAGGAGCCTCAAAAGTAGACTCCTGGGGCTGATGGGGTGCGTCCGCACTATCATTGTCAGACCGACTTTTGAGTCGACGCGAAAACAGACTCCTGGGGCTGATGGGGTGCGTCCGCACTATCATTGTCAGACCGACTTTTGAGTCGACGCGAAAACAGACTCCTGGGGCTGATGGGGTGCACTATCCGCACTATCCGCGGGGTTGGAAGAAGGGGGGAGGTGAGATGGGGGTTGAAATTGCGAAGCAGGGTGAGGGGCAGGAAACGGATGGGCGCTTGCGCACCACTAGTGAGCCAACTCAAGAGCGCTTGCACACCACTTCGTAGAAGGCTTACTTTGAGATGTCTAAAAAAAGGTCGACTGAAAAGCGCTTGCACATCAATTTCCTCCGACTGACAAGCCCGAAGAAATGGGTGGGTCTTGTCGGGGGTAAAAGGCAGCCACACAATCTGCTTGCGCTTGCCACTCACTCTTCTTTGACCTCTTCCCCCTCTCCCACCTCTCCCCAATCTCCCCCCTCTCCCCCCTCTCCCCAATCTCCCCACTCTCCCCCCTCTTCCCACTCTCCCCCTCTTCCCACTCTCCCCCCTCTTCCCCCTGTTCCCCTTCTTCCCCCTCTCCCCCCTCTTCCCCTCTCCCCCTCTCCCCCCTCTCCCCCTCTCCCCCTCTCCCCCCTCTCCCCCCTCTCCCCCCTCTCCCCCTCTCCCCTCTCCCCCCTCTCCCCCCTCTCCCCCCTCTCCCCCCTCTCCCCCCTCTCCCCCTCTCCCCCCTCTCCCCCCTCTCCCCCCTCTCCCCCCTCTCCCCCCTCTCCCCCTCTCCCCCCTCTCCCCCCTCTCCCCCTCTCCCCCTCTTCCCCCTCTTCCCCCTCTTCCCCCTCTTCCCCCTCTTCCCCCTCTTCCCCCTCTTCCCCCTCTTCCCCTCTTCCCCCTCTTCCCCCTCTTCCCCCTCTCCCCCCTCTTCCCCTCTTCCCCCTCTTCCCCCTCTTCCCCCTCTCCCCCCTCTTCCCCCTCTTCCCCCTCTTCCCCCTCTTCCCCCTCTCCCCCCTCTTCCCCCTCTTCCCCCTCTCCGTTCAGGCCTTGGAGGTGGCTCAGATGCTGGGCCTGGGGCTGCCATCAGCGCTGGAGCTTTTCAGCGCAAAGAGAGGCTCGGAGGAACTAACGAGCGCGGAACGGGAGTTGAAGGTTGAGGAGCTGGACGCGTGATCAGTGCAGAGAAGGAAGACGGGCTCATTGTGTATTTTTGAGGCGCCTCAAAAAAGAGATTTTCATCGCAGAGAGAGGCTCTGAGGAACTAATTCGCGCAGAACGGGAGTTGACGGTTGTGGAGCGAGACGCGTGATCGGTGCAGAGAAGAAATAGGGATGTGCTCAGTGTTTTCTCGTGAATATGAATGGTGGGCGTATATTTCAACGTGCGCGCTTCCAAAGCGTGTGGTCTGCTCATTATCAGATTCTACCTGAGGCCAAAGCATCACTATCCAGTGAAGGGTTCTTTAGAGATTTAGTGAAAAACAAGAGGCGACGAGATCGTCTTAGGGTTGCGGAGCATTTCATGATGAGACTTTATTATACATAAAATGTTTTATTTCCATCACAACGAACATTTGATTTTTATTTCACAAACTTGAAAAGAAAACCAGCCAGATCGATTGCAATAGGTTGCTCCGCAACCCAAAAACATGGCAAAAGCTGGCACCAAAAGATAACAACGAAGGAGCAACCCGGGTTTGAACCGGGGACCTATCGATCTGCAGTCGATTGCTCTACCACTGAGCTATTGCTCCATGTTTTGAAAGGTCGTTTATATTCTTTTTAGACGTTTATAAATTTGAGAATCACACACGATTGAGTTGCACGTGAACGAATCGAATCGACTCTCTAGCAAGAGACTTTCTGCCCTTTCGGTCAGTGAGCAGTGTTCTGGTCCAACCAAAAGCAGGGCAGCAGACAGCAAGCAAAGCAGCAAGATCCCCACAGTTGAAACCTTTTTCCTGCCCTTGAGCTGAAGTTGTCGTGGAGAATTAGATTTCGTCCTCGCCGAATCTTCCCCCTCAGGGCTGCTTGATTATCCGTCACTGTGCACCACCAGCCCATCCAATCCGTTCTTACCGTACTCCGCTTCATCGCACCGCGTTGTTTCCCTTGACATCGCCCTTAATATGTCCGAGATTCCGTATCTTCTGATTGACCATCCCTCCCTAGGCCTTCTTCCTATCTGCTGCACTCCTGCTCGCCCTCCCCTCCTCAACTCTTCAACTCTCTGAACTCAGCACAAACTGATCAGAGAATATCAGAGGCAGCCAAATCATATTTCTCCTCTATGTCTGTCTCTGACTAAACTGTATCTTGTATCCTGATCCGATTTTAAGTCGTCCAACCACAAAGCACCCAAATTTCCTGAGGGCGTGTCCCAAACTTACGTTTGATAGCGGTCGGGTAAGATGCTCTCGGAGTCTGAAGGGGCAAAAAACAATCTAAACCGGTTGGGTAGGGTTTCACCCGCAACAGCAAGATGACCAAACGAAACAAGCCTTCTCTTCTCCGCCACACATCATGTCATATTCGCAATCTCGGCGCAAGCAATCTTGTTCGGCCACTACTGCCAGCTCAATTGCTTTCCAGAGCTGCCCTCCATAATCCCTACTTTACTCTCCCGCCCGACGAGTCTGCTGTGTCGGTTCAATTCCTCCTGCCCCCACACGTACCAACGAATGAGAGCGTCTCATCTCGTCCCATTTCCTTTCCTGCCTGCCCAAGATTGGTTGGCTGGAAAGCAGCCCTCTCTCCTCCATTTCCAGCCACATTCTGCCCATTTTACGACCACACGCCGCGACCAGACGTGTTGATTTGCCTGCCCGTCGTCCTCTCCTCACTCCACAAGGCAGATTTCCTCTCCCTCGACAAATCCGTAGATAATACTGTTGTAACCGACGCAGGATCATTACACTCGTACATTTGATCACATATCTGCACGTACAGATCACCGGCGCAGGTAATCTGTCGATAGTCCAGCTTGGCTGCGCCGCAAGCTCTGCGAATTTTCCGATCGAATCGAAACGCCTCTCTCTGGCGCAGCTGTGGCGTCTGTTCGCCCTCCTACTGATCACATTCTGGGCCGTCCATATGTCTCACGAGTCGAGTCGAGTCTAGTCGAAACGAAACTCTCTGGCAAAACTGTTGCGTCGGTTAGACCTTTTAGCGACCACATTTGGGCAGTCCACAAATCCCCAGTGGTACCTTCCAAAGGGAGATTTTCTGCGTCTTACAGCTCCTAGAACGCTGTAGAAGAAGCAGGCGCAGCACAGCACATTATCCTTGAACCATTCTTTGTATACGAGGTTGGGAAACTCGGGGGGGGAGCGGAGCAAGCTGGCCCGTCTGTAGTACTGCGTCTTACAGCTCCTAGAACGCTGTAGAAGAAGAAGGCGCTCAGCACATCGGATTATTGAGTATACTTCCTCACAACTGTGGCTCGACACGGCCCTGGTAACCATGAGAGGAGTTCTCTCTTTCGCCGACGCCTCTAGTCGCGGCTGATGCAACCCTTCTATCATCACGGCGGTCGTTCGGCTGCTGGATTCGAATCTTGAGAGCTCCCAGTGGGCGAACACCAAGGCTACTACTAGGCTAGTACCACCATTACTTAACTTACAACGGACACCTCTCTAGGACTTTTGACTCACCGACGCCTCCTAGAATCTTGGCTCTTTGCAAGGCATGGCAACACCGGCGGCCATGGATCTACCTCCGTTTTCCTACCCATCGTCGTCGCCTCCCAGTGCTCCCCCCAGTCAGGAATTCCCCTTCACCGACTTGGGTAACTCAGAATCCCTCCTCCCGCTCTTCCCCTCACCTGCTCAACCTCTTCTGGCGACGCCTAAAGCCTCCACCCCGGATCTCACTAACAACCGCAGCAGCTTAGGGTTTCATCATCCTTCCGATCAGATTGGTCCTAAGACTTGGCTGGTCTGCCCGGAAAAGAGTCTCGCACCGGAACCGGACTCCACCGCGCCTCTTTCCAGTACTCCCTCCCGGAAACGCTGCCAGAGCCAGCCGTTTCCCCGCAGCAGCAGCACCAGCCGCGGCAGCACTTGGCAATCCGAGCACTGGGGAGCATCAGCAGCAGCAGTCGCACTAGCGAGCCCCACAACTCGGCCGTCAGATGCAGCATCAGCACCGGCGCACAGGCGGAGAAGGATCGGAGCAGCAGCAACGGCAAGCACGGCGAGCCTGCCTGCCAAGATGCCGGCAGCAGAGGGGTTTGCGAGGGAGATCCAGGAGACGGCTCGGTCTATGAGCTTGGACCTGCCGCCCCCCTGTTGCTCCTCTATGTGCTCGTACTTCTCTGTGCCCTGCAGGATGAAAAGAGGGCGGTATGGGGGTGTTGTGAATGGATCGGCTCGGAGTGGGGGGGCTGGGGTTCCTGCTGATAGCAGCCTGGCGGTGCAGCAGCAGGCGCAGCAGCAGGCGCAGCAGCAGGCGCAGCAGCAGGCGCAGCAGCAGGCGCAGCAGCAGGTGCAGCAGCAGGTGCAGCAACAGGTGCAGCAACAGGTGCAAGAGCAGGTGCAGCAGCAGGCACAGCAGCAGCAGGCACAGCAGCCGCGTATGAGGTGGCAGGAAGTGGCACAGGCAATGCCGCCGCAGCAGCCTCTACAGCAGCAGCAGCAGCAGCAGCAGCAGCAGCAGCAGCAGCAGCAGCAGCAGCAGCTGGTGCAGCTGCCACTGCCGCCGCATCTTGAGCTGGGGCCACAAGAGCAGCAAGCACTCGCATGTCATCTCCAGCTGAATCCCCTTCACGGTCTCGTAAACAGAGTAAACACCTGCCTGAGCAGTTCACGTGCTATACATACTACTGAAACAGTTCATATGGGGGATCATGCGGCATCTGTTGGAGACGCAGGTCCCCACCAGCTCCAGGTTCTGAGCCCGTGTTCAATGGGCACAAGAGGCAGTGTGTGCAAGGATAGGGAGCCCCTAAGGGATGCTTTTGAGGCGCGACAGGATGTGCCTTTCTGCGCAGAAATGCAGGGTTTCCAGTCGTCATCTGCAGCTGAGCCAGCTCAGCAACCACCGCTGTTGTTTGGCCGGCCGCTTTCGTCTGCCAGCCTTGATGTGGAAAGCTCGAGAGTTGAGGTGATGATGCGAGGGAGCCATTTTCAGAATGCGGGTATCAGTGAGAAGGAAACGGATGCTTCTGTCGGCGAGAGGTGTCCTGCAGGGGGGGATGTGAATGAGGGTAAGAGATTGTTTGGCCGTGTGCTTACTCAGACTAGTGGAGAGCCGGTGACAAGTAGTGAGGTTGAAACTTGGCGTTTAGATCTTAATTTAGGATTGTAAATAAATGTTGGATGTAGGGTATGATTTCACTTGTGGAATTATACTACACACGCTGTTGGAAATATCTCAAGGACTTAAGCGTTTCTGAAGTGTAACATCACACTCGAGGAAGATCGTAACGAGTACGCGAGTCAACGGAGGTTACACGAGGGAACGGACAAAGAACACGAAAGGACTCGAAGGGTCGCAACCGGAGGTTGCGACTGACCGTTACAACAGCGCGGATGGTAACCGAAGCGACAATCGAGTCGCTGTGCGACTCGATAACCGCTCCTGCAACTGTATTCTACAACTGCTTTACTTTCCTATTTTCTATATATTGCTGTATGCTTGTTTTCTTTAATCAATCACTTGTTCTCATATACTAGTACAAGGGTTCAACTATCTCAACTTCCGCTGCACTACTCAAGTCTTTTACAACTGGGACTTAGTCTCTGGAAAGATCCTAAGGGCATTTCTCAGCCCAACATGGTATGAGAGCTGGTCAGAGACCAAACTCTCAGCAACTACGCTCTATCTACAATCTGCAATTCAACGATTTCATTGATTACAAGTCATGGACAGGAAAACCGAGACCGGCGCTGCTCAAGAAACAACAGGAAGAACACCGGAAATGGTGACCCCATCACCCTCTTCAAGCGTGGATCCGAACCTTATGGAAAGGTTCTTCAGCTTCATGTCGCACTTCGACCAGCAGCAGCAGACAAGGACGCCTGCACATTCAACACAAAGCAACGGAGGGAACATGGGATTAGCGCCGATGAGCCTCGACAACTCATCGTTCGGGCGACACAATCAAGCGCCTACCTTTGCGCCTTATCACTCTTCACCGGGGACATTCGAGTTCATGCCGCCCCGTGCCCAACCAACAGCAGCTGCATCACAACAAACACCAAACGAGATTTTAAGTCTCCAGGCGCAGTTTTCACACGTGATTAAACTGCTGACATCCTCACCATTCAACGGACACGATTTCTTTACCTAGAGCTTTGAGTTCGAGCTGCTAATGGAGGCTGCGCATCTCTTGGGATACTTCAACGGATCCCTGCCATTCCCAAGCAACGGCACTACAAAGGAGCAAGAAATATTTACTTATCAATCGCTGCTGGCGTACACAGTTCTCCTGCGGAACCTGTCACCACAAGAACAGCAGAGCATCAGAACATATCGCAGCTATGGAAACTCCGCGGAACTCGCATGGCATCATCTCAAGTGTCTCTATCAAGCAAACGACAGCGTGACACAAAGTAGACTCATGCAACAACTGACAACAATACAGATGAAGACCGGGGAAAAGGCGATGCAGTATATGAGTCGCTACCAGACCCTCCGCGACCGCCTGCTTCGGTGCGGAGGAACAATCACTGAAGAAAGCTTCGTGACACTTGTCCTCGCCGGGCTCGGGCCAGAATGGAGAACCACACGCTCGCTTCTTTGCGCCCACGGAAGGATATCGGAGATGCACCTCTGCGCCGAGCTTCACGCTGAACAACAGGAGATGAACCTGTTCGAAGAAAGACAACCAAGGAAGCAGCAGCAGTTAGTTTTCTACACTCAACGAAGAAACGACAACAACTACAATCGACGCGGCAAACAAGATCAACGCGACAACAGAGGACTCACCTTCGTGCCACCGTTCTGCCACAACTGTCAGACTTCCGGACATTCCAAGGTCAACTGCACACGTCCTCGTGTTTATCGTCCAGTAGACCCACACGTCGCATCCACTCAAGAAAGCCCTCCAAGGCGCTCTTCCACATCTGCACAAGGGACACCGAACATCATTAACTGCATGGTACACATCGACAACTGCGCACCCGGATCACCACCCACTTACGCACCAGACGAAGAAGAACTTCCGCCGCCGCGCTCACAAGGACTTGAGGTCAACCCGACATACGCTGCGGTCGCCAACGCCGAACCCACCGGGCGAAACACCTGGTTCTTGGACAGCTGCTGCGGTCAACACATGTGTTCTTCCGGACGCTTCGTGCAACGAGAGCGACGCCTCACCCGCGACGTCAGCATCACCGTCGCCAACAACGAAAACCTGAAAACAAACAGACAAGGAGTGGTTCAGTTACAATCCATGGAGACAAACGTTATACTTCAACTCAACAAGGTCCTCATCGTCGACAACTTGGGATACAACTTACTAAGCGTCAGCCAGCTAATGGCAAAAGGGATTCACCTGGAGTGCGACTCCTACTCCAACGAGTTTCGCCTTTACCACGGGAAGGGCGGTCTCTTCATTGGTCGTGCTCTCTTGAAGTCCGGCGTCTTTGTGTTGGACTTCGTCCCCGACCGCGGTACTGCCGACAGCGACGGAATCGTGTCGTTCGCCGCCTGGACACACCCGCCGGATCTTGACCCCGACTTCGACCCTGATGGGTTCTGGCACTCCAATACCATACCTGCAGCAGAAAGAACACGAGCATTAGCAGTCATCAGACAAGAAAGACAAGTACCAGCAACTGTCCCTTCCCAACCATCACCTGCAGTAGCAGCAGCAGGACCCAGCCGAGTACCACCACCAGCGATCCGAGGACCGCCAACCGAAGCAGATCAACTTATGCCCATCACACGAGAAGTCTGTCGAAGTCCCGCCACGGTCGTCGCGTTCTTCTCCAACACCGACATATACCACCGCTCGCCCGGCCATCGCGCTCCCAACGACATCTGGCACCAACGACTCAGGCACCCTGCAAACAGTACAATACTACAAACCATCAAAGCCGAAGTATTAGAACGCAACGCCCTCCTTACAACGAACGGCCAAGAACTTCGACGACCACGCGCGCGGTGCTTTACGTGCCCCGAAGCCGATCTTCCCCACCAGTCTTTCCCATCTCATCACAACCCAAGCGCACCTGCATACGCACCGATGGAAAAAGTCTACAGCGGCATTTTAAACATGCCTCGAGAAGACACTGAAGCCGACTTCAACTATGTCATCACGTTTATCGACGCAGCAACAAGATACGTCTGGCACTACAACCTCAAGACGTGAGATCAAGCCTTGGACGCCTTCACGACATGGCTACCCATCGCTGAACGAGAATCAGGAACAAAGCTCAAGAGCTTCCAGTCAGACGGTGCACTGGAATACCAGTCACAACGCTTCAGGACCTATCTGGCGGAAAGAGGAATCAGACGCCTGGGGTCTCTGCCCTACGCTCACCAGCAGCAGGGGGTCGCCGAACGTATGAACCGGACCTTGCAGACGACGATGCGGAAGCTGCTCCTGGGGATGAAACTGCCCACCACACTGTGGCCAGACGCGATGACACATGCAGTCCACCTGCACAACCTGCTGTCCTCGTCATCACTTCCCAACAACGCATCACCGCACCTGCTATGGACACGAAAACGGGGCAGCACAAAATTACTTCGAGTTTTCGGTTGCATGGTACAGTACAGACCCCACACAGCCAGAGCAGGACGTTTCACCCAACGAGCACGATGGGGGCTACACCTCGGCATCGCACAACATTTTCACGCATGGAAAATCCTCGACATACAAAACAAAACTACACTGGCATCACGTGATGTTATCTTCTACGAGCGACTGACGCTGCAGCATTATCTGGACAACATTGCCAACACACACGACCCCACCGACGGCTTCGCGGGCCTTCGTTCCTTCGCCGACCGTGCTGCCGAGGCTGACGCAGCAGAAGAAGACGTACCTGGAGCCTCGGAAGCTGCCGGACCACTCCCTTTCTGTTCCGTACCTGTTCCACTCGACGAAGACAATCCCCTCGATAGCAACAACCTCGACACCTTTTACCACTTCGCTGACCAAGGTTACGTTACACCCCACCCGATCGACACGAATGTCTCAGAACGCATCGGCCCAAACTTCTTACCTGATCCAAAAGACGGTGACGAGGCAGCCTATTCCGGGAATGAAAATTCCCCTCGACACACACCAACGGGACTGCAGATACTCGGCCTATGGGTCTCCGTCCAGCATCCGCCGCCGCCATATCCGCGCGAGCCCTCGACTCTGTCGCAGGCTCTGGGGGGGGAACATAAGGTGAAATGGAAGGAGGCGATGGAAAAGGAGTTAAAGGCTCTGCAAGACCGAAATACATGGAAGCTGGTACCTGCAACAAGCATCAACAAGAAGAACGTCCTCTCAGGAAAATGGGTGTACCGCATCAAGACCAATGCGGACGGTTCCACCGAACGATTCAAAGCTCGATGGGTCGTACGAGGGTTCGATCAACGATACGGAACCGACTACACAGAAACATTTGCCCCAGTCTCCCGTCACACCTCATTGCGCATCCTACTCGCTGTCGCGGCCACGAAGAAACTACCATTGCGCCAAATCGACGTCGCAAACGCTTTCCTGTACGCACCTGTGGACGCTGAGATCTTCGTCGAGCAACCCCACGGATTCATCGACGACCCCACGAAAGTATGCCAGCTGATAAAATCCCTATACGGGATCAAGCAAGCCCCGCGGCTCTGGCAGCAGCATCTTCACGGTCGCCTCGTAAAAATCGGATTCCTACAGCTGCCGCATGACCAAGGCATGTACCGACTGCAAAAGGGAAGAGAGTATATCCTACTCATCGTTTACGTCGACGACCTGCTCTACATCGGTTCCACTACCGACATCGCCACCTGGTTGGAAGGGGAGCTGAAAGAGGACTTGACACTCACGGTGGCCGACGCAGTGACCCAGTACCTGGGATTGAATGTCGTCGAAGACAACTCAGCGCTCTACCTACACGCTGGAAAGTACGCAGGCACTGTCGCGAAGAAATTTGGTCTAACGCCGACTACGGTCCCGACTCCCTACCGCTACGGGAACAACAACAGCACCTCCGAAAAACTCCCCGCGAAGCAAATCCGGGAGTATCAGCAGAAGCTCGGCTGCCTACTATTCGCAGCAGTAACCTGCCGACCCGATCTCTCTTATAGCGCGAGCCAACTGGCGACGCATCTGAAGCAGCAGGAACAAGAAGATCTCGAGGAACTTAATCGGGCACTACTCTACTTCGTCTCCACGCCGACGACCGGGCTCACCTACAGCAAAGTAACGACACCGTCCGTACGACTACTCGGATACGTCGACGCCGACCACGCGGGAGACAAGGAAAATCGACGATCGAGAACCGGCTACATCTACCGACTAGAACCTATCGGAACTATCTCCTGGCAGTCGAGCAAGCAGGAACTAATCGCACTATCTTCGGCTGAAGCAGAATATATCGCCCTCTATACTGCGACCAAGGAAGGACTCTACCTACGAGAGCTGCTAGAGGAAGCGAAGATTGCGACCCTGCCCGTCTTCTCACTCCTCTGCGACAACCAATCTGCGATCAAAATCGCGAACAAGGACGGCTTCGCCAACCGAACCAAGCACATTGCCCTGCGGTACTTTTTCGTCAAAGATGAAATCGCGAAGGGGAGACTTCAACTCAGCTACTGCCCTACAACAGAAATGGCCGCAGACCACCTGACGAAGAAACTGGCGAAGGCGAAATTCGATTACTGCATGCTGCTGACCGGGCAGACAAACATCACCGGATCTGAACACGTCAGCACTCCAGAAACGAAGGGGAGTGTTGGAAATATCTCAAGGACTTAAGCGTTTCTGAAGTGTAACATCACACTCGAGGAAGATCGTAACGAGTACGCGAGTCAACGGAGGTTACACGAGGGGATGGACAAAGAACACGAAAGGACTCGAAGGGTCGCAACCGGAGGTTGCGACTGACCGTTACAACAGCGCGGATGGTAACCGAAGCGACAATCGAGTCGCTGTGCGACTCGATAACCGCTCCTGCAACTGTATTCTACAACTGCTTTACTTTCCTATTTTCTATATATTGCTGTATGCTTGTTTTCTTTAATCAATCACTTGTTCTCATATACTAGTACAAGGGTTCAACTACCTCAACTTCCGCTGCACTACTCAAGTCTTTTACAACTGGGACTTAGTCTCTGGAAAGATCCTAAGGGCATTTCTCAGCCCAACACACGCAACCCAATAGAACATGTAAGGAAAAGGAAAGAGCTTAAGTAGGAGGCATGGTAAATGTATTAAATTGCATTAAGATATGTACATGGATGGAAGTAAACATGCACTGTCTAGGCTTTGCTACTAGTGCGTTATAAAGAATTTCGCTCCAGCACTGCCTTCAGGCTCAAGGCAAGTGAGCCTTCTGTGTTTATCTGGATTCAGGTTTCCACCAATCCTATCTGGATTTAGGACTTGCATAGGCATCCCCGAACGAACGAATATGGCGTTCTCCTCCTAGCCAAATCTGCTGCGCGTACGCAAGCCGCGTGGCGATCGGCGCGGCTCCTTCCCTGCCGTCCTCCTCGTTAGGTCAAACCGCGCGGTTTCGCACCTCCTTCCTTCCCTGAATTCCGATAAGCACAGCTACAGGTTCGGGCTCCCGGCTTTCGTAGCTTGAGGGAACGAATTGAGCCTTAAGGTTGCCTACACGATACGCCTCGAAGGTTCAGTCAGCTTCGAGTCTATGGACGTGTCGAGTCGAGTCGAGTCGTGTCGTGTCGAGTCGTGTCGTGTCGTGTTGAGTCGTGTCGTGTGGAGTCGTGTCGTGTCGTGTAGGCAACCTTTAGGCTCAACAACTTCGTCAGGCGAGCTTCTAGGCTATTAGTTAACGCTGTGGTGACGTGTGTCCTCCCGACGAGTGCTCACCGATTTGAGCGGGATTAGGGACCGGTAGCCTCAGGCCGTTCTGCTTACTGATTTTTGAGTTGTATTTTGAGTCGACTCAAAAATCACCTGGGATTAGGGACCAGTAGCCTCAGGCCGTTCTGCTTACTCTTAGATGACGCCTTGAGCCGCTATTTTTAGAGAAACGTCAGAGTCTAGGCTTTAGAGTATCATTGGAAGCCAATTGTAGGGATTTCCGCCCCGAAATGCACCTAGGCTAGCCGGCTCGAGCTCGCCTTGCAAATCGCGTTGCTGCTTGGATTCTTGAATTCTCGCCTGGGTTTAGCGTAGCGGACGCCGTGACTGGCTTTCGACGGCACCGAATTCGGGTACACGGTTCCTCGCGGTTCCTCTCGGTTCCTTTCGTTCGAAGCAAGAAGCGAAAACGAGCTTCGGTCAGCGGTTTCCAGCATGCTTCCTAGCAGCGCCGTGGTAAGTAATGCACCTGGTTGTTCTGTTTGATCCCAATATGCCGTGCATGCTGGATCCGTGTACTGCCAGGTCTCAGGCATGGCTTGATCTGTGTTATTTGTGTTTATGGAGGTCTAGTGTGGCCTACAGAGCTCTAGACAGGCATCTGTAGGTGGAGTTTTTGAGAGTCCGAAAACATCATCTGTCACTCTCTACGCCACTCACTCCCCCACTTCCTCCTCTCCCTCACTTCCTCCTCTCCCCCACTTCCTCCTCTCCCCCACTTCCTCCTCTCCCCCACTTCCTCCTCTCCCCCACTTCCTCCTCTCCCTCACTTCCTCCTCTCCCCCTCTTCCTCCTCTCCCTCACTTCCTCCTCTCCCTCACTTCCTCCTCTCCCTCACTTACTCCTCTCCCTCCTCTCTCCCTCCCACCCCGCACCCCCCAGTGCGAGCTCCTCAGGAGTTAGGACCTGTGACCCGTCTGCTGCAGCCCACAGACGGACATAGCAGCGGGGCCCGCCTGCCTCCCCCCCATTTGCCCCTCAGCAAATCACCCCATTCTCCTCCCCCCCATTTGCCCCTCAGCAAGTCACCCCATTCTCCTCCCCCCCGCCCTCCCCCAGCCCAGCGCGAGCTCCTCAGGACCCGTCTGCTGCAGCCCACAGACGGACATAGCAGCGGGGCCCGCCTGCCTCCCCCACGTGCCACCAGACGCTGCTTTTGACGTGCCTCAAACCACTCCCCCCACTTGTTATTCAACACATTTCCCCCCTCCTCCACCCCCCCCCCCTCCTCCCTCACCCACCCCTTCTCCCCCTCCCCCAGCGCGAGCTCCTCAGGACCCGTCTGCTGCAGCCCACGGACATAGCAGCGGGGCCCGCCTGTCTCCCCCCCCTCCTCCGCGCGCACCCCCACCTCGCCCCCCGCCTCGTCTCCGCGCTCCTCTCTTTTGGCGCTCAACCCCAGGAGGGGGGATGGGGGCGAGGCAGGATACCAGGTGGGATGGGGGGAGAGGCTGGGGGGGGGAGGGCATGGGGGGAGGGATGGACGGGTGGAGTGAGAGCGGAGAGCAGAGAGGTTTGGGAGGAAGAGGAGGAGGAGGAAACGAGGGTGCTGAAGCTGCTGCTTTAGACGAGGCAGTTGCAGCAGTCATGTCTTTAAGTGGCGGTCGTGTGGGCTTTAATCTTGACCCGGACGCATTAGCTCTGGTGAAGGAGGCCTATTCCGGGGCAGTGGATTGGATTCTCTGGGCGGCATGCGGATCTGATCCGGAATCCACACTGGCAGCTCTCGGCCAATCAGGAGCGTCCGGGGTATGTGGTGCGGTATGGGGGGCGAGCGACATAGCATATAGGTGCAGGACGTGTGAGCATGATCCTACATGTGCCATATGTGTGCCCTGCTTTCTGGAAGGGGACCATGAGGGGCATGATTATGCCATGATCAAAACGGGCGGTGGATGCTGCGACTGCGGCGATCCAACGGCCTGGAAGCGCCAGGGGTTTTGCAGGAGGCATCCGGGCCCCGGGCACGCCCTGCCCCTGCCGGAAAATTTTGTTGCTCGGGCAGAGCCAGTGCTGGCTGCGGTTGCTGCGGAATGGCAGCAAAAAATAGTTTTTGCTGCCCGGATGGAGGAAGAGCGGAGCGGAGGCACAGGGGGTTGGGGGGGCGCTGGGTTTGGATTTGGCAGCAGGAGAAGCGGAGGAGGGGGAGGAGGAGGGGGAGGGGGAGGAGGCAGAGGAGGAGGGAGAGGAGGAGGGAGAGGAGGGAGCAGTATGAGCTCGCTGCTGGGATCACTAACAGGGGGTGGGGGGCGCGGGGGAGGATGGATGGGGAGCGAGGGGTTCGGAGGAGCGTCATCCTCCTCCTCCCTATCTGCTGCAACGCGCCTGAGAGCAGCCAAGAACGAGGCAGCAGCAGCCACTGAGAAGTTCTCGGACATGTTTCTGAGACTAGCCAGCACCAGTGAAGGGCTGCTGCACCTTGTGTCATCGATTCTCACCCGGAAAGGCAACCCCGTTACAGTCACATCGGGTGGCTTGGACCCCACGAGTCCCCCCTCTATCCCTGCCTCTGCTGCTGTCGGCCTAGGCTCAATCCTGAGCCCAGCCGTTGTGCCTGCCCTCCCTGGGTCGTCACATCCCTCTTCTGCCGCGTCATCTAGCCTCCTGGAAACCCTAGTAGCGAATGAGGTAGGGATCACAGAGGAAGCTATGCAGGCGGCCCACCGCCTGCTCTACAAGCTCTTGGGCGACCCGGGCTTTAAGTACCAGTTCGCGCTCGCGTTCGTCTCCAACTACTCGGCCTTCGTCCTGGGGGGTGCTGCCAGGGAGGAGGAGGAGGAGGGCGGGCGGTGGGGGGAGGGGGTGCGGGCGGTGGAGGGAGCAGAGCAGGGAGGAGGGGGCGGGGAGGGGCGGGGAGTGCAGGCAGCCGGGTGTCGATTCTGGAGAGCTTTTCGGTGCAGATATTCACGGTGCCGGTGCTGACGCCGAGGCTGGTGGTGGAGGCTCGGCTGCTGGATATCCTCCTGGCAACCCTGCAGAGCACGCTGCAGGGGGCGCTGGGCCGGGACGGGCGGATCAACGTGAGTCAGAATGTTTCTACTTTTGTTGTGGATCCTAGGTGGCATGTTGATGGCGCACCTGTTGATGAGGCACCTGTTGATGGCGCACCTGTTGATGCGACACCTGTTGATGGCGCACCTGTTGATGGCGCACCTGTTGATGAGGCACCTGTTGATGAGGCACCTGTTGATGGCGCACCTGTTGATGAGGCACCTGTTGATGAGGCACCTGTTGATGGGGCACCTGTTGATGGGGCACCTGTTGATGGCGCACCTGTTGATGAGGTACCTGTTGATGAGGCACCTGTTGATGGCGCACCTGTTGATGAGGCACCTGTTGATGAGGCACCTGTTGATGGGGCACCTGTTGATGGGGCACCTGTTGATGGGGCACCTGTTGATGGGGCACCTGTTGATGGGGCACCTGTTGATGAGGCACCTGTTGATGGGGCACCTGTCGATGGGGCACCTGTTGATGAGGCACCTGTTGATGGGGCACCTGTTGATGGGGCACCTGTTGATGAGGCGGGAAACTCACATCGATGCGCTGGGGCGAGACGGGCGGATCAATGTGAGTTTCCCTTCACTTCCCCTCTCGTCCACCATCCTCCCATCCCATCCCTACCTTCCCCCTTGCATCTACCCTCCTCTCTCCCCTTCCCGCCCCCGTCTCCCAGCTGACTCCTGTCAGCCATCCCATGAGGAGGTGCGCAACGGGCTTGTCACCTACGACATTCGCTATGTTCTCTTCCACTCCGCCTCCTCATTTACCCTTCTCTCTTCTCCCCCCCCCCCCCCCCCCCCCCCCCCCCCCCGGGTTCTCCCCCTCCCTTTCCATCTTTCCCCAGCCATCTGAAGAGGAGGTCCGCAATGGGCGAGTGACAGACGATATCCGCTACGTCCTCTCTCACTCTGCCTCCTCATGAATCCCTCTCTGATCCTCCCCCTCCCCCCCTTTCCTCCATCCCCCGGGGCGGTTGTCCCCTCCCCCCTTTTTCCACCTTCCCCCAGCTATCTCAAGAGGAGGTCCGCAATGGAGTCTATTCTAGAGGCGCCTCAAAAAGAGACTCCCCCCCTCCCCGGTTCTCCCCTCCCCCCTGTTCCATCTTCCCCCAGCTGCCTCAAGAGGAGGTCCGCAATGGGCGAGTGACGGACGATATCGCAGGGTGTTTTTGAGAATTCTCAAAAACACCCTCCCCCCTTTTTCCATTTTCCCCCAGCTGTCTCACGAGGAGGTCCGCAATGGCCGAGTGACGGACGATATCCGCTACGTCCTCTCTCACTCCGCCTCCTCCCGCCACGTCACCGCCCGCCGCCCGGACCTGCTGCGCGCGTGGCTGCGCCAGCTGGCGGCCGCCCAGGGCATGTGTCCGCATGTGCGGCGCACGACCACCCATGTGGCAATAGAGCCCGATGATTGGAGCTTCGCCTACCTGTTAGAAGCACAGTTGGCGACTGTCAACCCGTTGCTCGCCGAAGCTAGTGCTGTGCCTGGGCTGGAGGCGTGGAGGGAGGCCCGGCAGGTGGAGGGAGGCTCGGCAGGGGAGAAGGGGGGAGGGGAGGGGGAGGGTGAGAGGGTGGTTGGAGGGGGTGGGTTTCCCGGTTTAGGGTTTGGGAGGAGAAAGGCCTTAAGATGGTTTGTAGATGAGGATGCAGCGCAGCAGGGGCAGCAGGGGGGGCAGCAGGGGCAACAGCAAGGGCAGCAGCAAGTGGGGGTGGAAGTAGGGGGTGGTGGTGGCAATGGTAGTGGTAGTGGTGGAAGTCACAAGGACATGTCAACAGGTGGCGCTGGTGGCTCTGCAGATCTCGATGGTTCTAGCTGGAAGGCAGAGGGTTTTGACCCGGAGGCCTATATGGATGATTGGGGAGACATGGACACAGGCACGCTAGCAGCAGCAACATGGGAGATGCTAGGCATATCTGGGGCAGGTCCTTGTGGCCCCTTACCTGCTCACCTCCCTGCTGCAGCCCCTTACCTGCCGCCCCGAGCCTGCGAGGTTCGGCAGGTGGCGGCCAGGTTCGGCATCCCTCCGGCTCTGGTTCGGCTGCTGCATGAGTGTGCGTGGGTGCTGGCACGGTGGCTGGCTGTGGAAGGGTTGAGATCGCTGGGATCCGCGTTTGGTAGTGGGGCGAGCAGTGTGGAGGCACTCAGGCTTCTCGGCCTTAGCAGGTCGGTTTTTTCTGCATTTCCTGCTGGTGCTGGCATTGCTGGTGCTGCTGCTGCTGGTGATGGTACTGCTGTCCCTGCTGCTGCTGCTGCTGCTGCTGCTGCTGCTGGTACTGCCGGTGGTGGTGGCGGTGCTACAGGGGCTGCTGCTTCAGCAGGAGGGGGGGGTGGAGGGTTAGCAATGAGAGGGATGCGGCAGTTGGGACAGCTAGGCCTGCTACCAGGGGCCTCAGCAGCCAGGGCTCTTCTCACCTCCCCCTCCCACCCTCCCCGCCCCACTCCCTCCCCCTCCCCCCCGTCCCCTCTACTAACCCCACTGCCTGCTGCCGCTACCGCTGGGAGACTCTCTGGTGACGGTTCTATTAGGGAAGGTCTATCTAGGGAAGGTGAATTCGGACAAGACGGGCAGGAGCAACAGCAGCAGCAGCAGGAGCAGCAGCAGCAGATGCTGTCCTCAGTGCTGGCGCATGCCCCAGGGCCATCTCTCCTGTCCTTCAAATGGGCCCAGGACGAGCTGATCACCCTTGCTGCAGAGGCTGCAGCAGGGAAGGCAGTTGCAGGGGGCGCAGGAGGACGGGTAGAGGGCGGTAGAAGCAGCACAGTGCGCGGTGCAGGGGAAGCAGGGGCAGCAGGAGGAGGAGGGGGGGGATCAGCAGGAGGCAGCGGCGGAGTGGGGAGGGCAGGGAGGTTCTTGTCAGGCATGGCAGCAGCCGCAGGGGCGGCAGCTGCTGCTGTGGGGGGGAGAGCAGCAGGGCTAGGCGGGCCAGGAGGCAGCCCTGGCAGCAGAGCAGCAGCAGGGGTGGGGAGCCCAGGCAATAGAGCAGCAGGGGCAGGCGGCCCAGGCAATAGACCAGCAGGGCACTTCGGTCCGGGTGGCAGAGCAGCAGCAGGGGTGGGGAGCCCAGGGGCGAGCAACCAGCCTCCTCGTGAGGCGACTGAAGTGCCTGAGCTAACACTTGGTCAGTCAGGGGGACCTAGTGGGGCTAGTGAGACACCAGTCCCTGCTGCTTCAGGTGCAAGGCTGGGCGGAGGGGGTGTTGGAGATCGGGAGGCAGGGGAAGGCTTGGCTGGCGGTGGAGGGGGGTGGGAAGGGGGGTGAGGCAGGGAGAGGGGAGGTAGGGCATGGTGGGGAGGAGGCAAGAGAGGGGGGAGATGGTGCAAGGCAGGAGGGCGAGGACGCTGCACACACGCAGAGGGGGCACATGGGGATACTGAGTAACTGGCTCAGACGGGCATCGCGGTTTAGAGCGACAGGAGGGGAAGGGACGCACGGCAGACCCACAGGCGCAGCTGAAGCAGCAGGGACAGGGACAGGAGGATCAGGCGCAGACGCAGGGGCAGGGGCAGGGGCAGGGGCAGGGGCAGGGTCAGGGGCAGGGGCAGGGGCAGGGTCAGGGGCAGGGGCAGGGGCAGGGGCAGGAGGAGGGTCAGGGGCAGGGGCAGACGCAGGGGCAGGAGGAGGGGAAGTGGCGGCGGCACCAACAGCCATGCTGACAGATCCCTCTGTTGCGTCAGAAGCTGATGCCAGGAGCCCTGGAGGGAATACCACCATGGCCCCTGCTACTCACTCACCTGCTATAGACTCCCCTGCTAGCGGCTCACCCGTGAGAGGCTCAGCGTCAGCTGGACCCTCCTCCCCTCGCCCCCCTCGCTCACCAGCTTATGCTGGCCCCCCATCTTCCGCTCCCCCCCCTCCCTCCGCTGCCCTTCCTCCTTCTGCTGCTGCCTCTGGCGCGCTCACCCCATTGAACAGCCCCTGCTGGTGGGTGGGGCGGCAACAGCTGTCGCTTCTGGAGGGGCTGCTGCCGTTCCCTCCCCCCCGGCTGGAACAAGGGGATGTGCAAGCAGGTGTGCAAGGAGGCATGCAAGGGCATGGGGCTTTATCTGGGGACGGTCCAGCGGGTGGGGATGTGGGTGGATGGAATCAGCCAGGGAAGGACTGGTCAGGTGTGGAATGGCCAGTAGTTGACTATGATGTGGCGAGGCAGGAGGTGTCGTTCCACCTGCCGCTGCACCGCATGCTGGCGCTGATGCTGCACTCGCTGCTACGCCTGCGCTTCCCCGTGGCTGAGTCGCAGGAGGACACGGAACAGAGTGTAGAAAAGGGCACACTGCAGGGCACACAGGACACACAGCTCGCGCAGAAAGGGCCAGCAGGAGAGGCACAAAGTGCGGCGCAGAAAGGGCCGCGAAGGGAGGGGGGAGAGCGGGGGTCACCAGAGGTGTGCTTGCTGCATCTGCTGCCCAGCGAGCTGCAGAGGGGGAGTTTCCTCGCAGCTGTGGCTGAGCATGGGCTCCGACTGCAAGTGCTGTGTGCTCAGGTGCGTGCTGCCGAGTAGTTGTCGTCTACTTTCGTGCTGAGGCCATCTCATGTTGTACAATCGCCCACGGCCATGTTTTCTCTCCCATCTCTCGTTTCCCCCTGCCATCTCCTCCTGTCCTCCCTCCCTCCCGCCCATCTCCCCCCCCCCCCAGATATCAGCGGGCATGTGGCGGCGGAATGGCCAGTCCATGGTTGCTCTCTGCGACCTCTACCACTCTGTGCACTGGTGAGTGGCAGCATGCGCGGCCCCCCTCTTCTCCCGTGCTTCCCGCCGGTCTTCTCTTTCTTCCCCATTCCTACCCACCAGGTGTGTGTGAGGACACCCGTAAGCTGTCAGTTTTTGAGGCGCCTCAAAAATAGACTCCCGCCGGTCTTCTCTTTCTTCCCCATTCGCACCTACCAGGTGTGTGTGAGGACACCCTTAAGCTGTCAGACATCTCAAAACTCCCTCGAATCTTCTCCCTCGGCTCTTCACCCTCCACCGTGCTCCTTCCCCATTCCCACCTACCAGGTGCGAGGACACCCTCGACCTCGACCTCTTTCTCCTGCAGTGCGCAGCTGTCTCTGCCCCTCCTGACCCCTATGTGCTCCCTTCGCTCTTTCCTCTACCTCTCCTCGGTTCCCTCACTCCCCATGCCTTATCCTGTGATAATCTTGTTTTGAGGCGCCTCAAAACTCCACCTCCCCTCAGTTCCCTCACTCCCCATGCCTTATCCTGTGATAATCTTATCCCACCAGGTGTGAGGACACCCCAGAGTTAGACCTCTTTCTCCTGCTGTGTATTTTGAGTCGACTCAAAATACGCCTTTCTCCCCCCCACGCCCTGTGCCATCACCATATCCCACTACCAGGTGTGAGGACACCCTGGAGTTGGACCTCTTTCTCCTGCAGTGCACTGCTGTCTCTGCTCCGCCTGACGCCTTTGTGCGCCAGGTTGTAGCGCGCTACAGCCTCACAAGCTACTTCTCTCTCACCCTTGGCTCTGCCTCAGAGTGAGTGATAGGGTTGCTTTCATGTGTGCGCCACTGAAGATGTGGAGTCTCAGGTCGTCGGGTTGTAGCGCGCTACAGCCTCACAAGCTACTTCTCTCTCGCCATCGGGACTACCTAAGTGTGAGTGGTAGGGTTTCTGGCACACGCGCGCCTCTGAGTGTGTGGAGTCTCAGCTCGTCGGGTTGTAGCGCGCTACATCCTCACAAGCTACTTCTCCCTCACCATTGGATTGGCCTCTGAAAATATTGCTGGAAGTCCCTCCTGCTTCTGCTTCTGCTTCTGCTTCTGCTTCTGCTTCTGTTGCTTCTGCTGCTGCTTCTGCTGCTGCTTCTGCTTCTTCTCCTTCTGCTCCTCCTTCTCCTTCTGCTTCTGCGTCTGCTTCTGTTGCTTCTGCTTCTGCGTCTGCTTCTGTTGCTTCTGCTTCTGCTTCTGCTGCTGCTTCTGCCGCGCTGCCTTTTGGCGGCAATATGGTACGGTGATCAGACATGGCTGTCCTATCCTCTCCTTGTCCTCCCCCATGCGAGTCTGCCTTTGAGTCGACTCAAAAGCAGACTCCTTGTCCTCCCCCGTGCGATCCACCTCCCCTTCCGTTCTCCTCTCTTCTTCCCTCTCTCCTCAAGCGAGCTGACTTTTGAGTCGACTCACAAGTCACTCCGTGCTATCCACCTCCCCTTCCCTTGTCCTCTCTCCTCCCCCCCCCCCGGCTCACTCCAGGTACGAGCCAGCAGTGGCGCAGGACTGCCTGGCGTTTCTCATCGGCCTCATCTCAGAGCGATCCTTCTCCGGCCTTTTTTTAGGTGCCTCAAGAATCGCTCCTTCTCTGGCCTCCCTTCTTGCTGCCCCCGCTCCTCTTTCGCTCACTCTTCTCTCTTCTCCCCCCTCCCCCCCCCTCCCCCTCCCTCACACCAGGTACGAGCCAGCAGTGGCGCAGGACTGCCTGGCGTTCCTCATCCGCCTCATCTCAGAGCGCTCCTTCTCTGGCCTTCCCCCCACCGTGGCCCTGCGGAGAGAAATAGTGCAGCGCCTAGCCATCGGGAACGCCACCCGCAGCAGCGTCGTCAAATCCCTGCCGCCCCGCTTCGCCGAAAACCCGGCCATTCCCTCTGTTCTGGCTTCAGTGGCGGATTACTCCCGGCCTTCTGGTATGGAGCAGGGGCGGTACTTACTTAAAAGAGACTGTTACCGGGAGCTGGATCTGTATTGCTTAAGGTGGGCGCCCAGGGAGTTGCAGAGAGCAGAGGAGCGGTACTTAGAGGCGGTTAAGAGGTCAGCTGTTGTGGAGCAGACGCCCAGGTGGCGCGATCCTGTCCGCCCGTTGCTGGGGCTGAGGGAGATTGCCACGTCAGCAGGGGTGCATGACGTGGTGCTGTCGGTGGTGCTGCATGCGTGGTGGGACGAGGAGGGGAGGGAGAGGAGCGGGGGGGAAACCAGAGGCGGCGGCAGTGGCAGTGGTGGCAGTGGCGGCGGGAGTGGTAGTGAGAGTGGGGGGAATGGGCTGTCTAGAGCGCCAGATAATGTTCTTCATGCTGCCCTGCATCTACTGGCGTTGGCTCTGGACACTTTTGTGGCGTGGCAGGAAGCGGTGGAGAAGGTAAAGGAGGAACAGAAGGGGCAGGAAGGCCGGGGGGTAGGAGCGGAGGAAGGGAAGCAGGAGGAGGGTGGGAGAGTGGGTGGGAGAGTGGGTGGGAGAGAGGGTGAAGAAGGAGGTGAGGGGGAGGGGATGATGGATGTGGATAGGGGTATGAGGGGCAGATGGGGTGAAGGCACAGAGGGGTCTGCTCTTGAGTCGAGTCAAAGGCAAACAGAGCGTTCTGCTATGGAAGTGGAAGGGGCAGATGCGCATGGTGATTCACCTGTTAATACACATGGTGATATTGGGCCACCAGCCGTGCAGAAACGACAATCGTGGCCACCGGTGCTGCTATCCCGAGCGTGCCAACCATTTGAAGCACACTCAAGTGGCATCAACAGCAGCACTGCTGCCACCTCAGGCCTATTCTCCCTCCTGCCAGCATCCGCGTTCTCCTCCTCTCCCCAGACCCCCCATATTCTCCCAGTGTCCCTGCTCTTTCTCCTGGTGCGCCTGCTGAAGGTGTGGCAAAGGCAGGCGGGAGTAGCAGGAGCAGCAGGAGCAGCAGGAGCAGGGATAGGCTCCAGAGATGGGCATTGTGGTCTTCTTGGTGCTGCTGGTGGTGGTGGTGGTGTAGGGGTGGGACCAGGGCTCGAAGCTGAGCCTAGAGCAAGGGGAGCCGACGAGGGATGGGGCTTAGGGGTTGGGGAGATATCAGGGGGAGCAGGAGGAGCGGGAGGAGGAGGAGGAGCAGGAAGGGGAGGTGGAGGTGAGGGGCGGTCGGAGCTGCACGTTCTGGTGCTGCGGCTGCTTAAGCAATTCTCTCAGCTAAGCGACGAGTGCAGGAGGGCTCTGGAGCAGCTCTGCCCGGAGGAATTCGATAAGGGGAAGGGGAAGGCAGTGGTGGGGGGGGCGGGGAAGGGGCTGGGGAAGCAGGCACAGGAGGGGTAGCAGGAACAGCAGGAACAGCAGGAACAGCAGGAACAGTAGGTGCTGGCGGCATTGCTGCAGAGGCAGGTGGCTGGAGCAGAGAGAGGGGGGTTGGGGAGGGGGCAACGGGAGTTGGTGGTGGTGGAGGGGGAGAAGAAAGGAGAGGAGGAGGAGAAGCGGGGGGAGGAGGAGGTGAGGGGAAGGGGGAGGGAGGAGCTTGGAGTGAAGCTGATGCAAGGAAGGTGTTTGCTCGAGCGAGGCAGCAAGCTCTGCTGGTACGTGGTTGAGTGGAATGGCGTGAACCTACCTAGTTAGCCTAGTGACATAGTCTGGGTGCAGATATTTTGGATCTGGGCAGTGGGCAGTGGCTTTGCCCTGAACCCTTTACCCGAATCTTAAACCCAAAACCCTGGTTAGCACAGTCTGGGTACAGTTCTTTTTCAGCTATTTTTTGCGGGGTCCTTCCTCTCTATCCACCTCCCTGAACCGAACCCCGAGTCCCTAAAACCCCTCTGCTTTTGATATTTTCACTGATTTCCGTCCTCCCCCCTCCACAAACAGGCCAAGATGCGGGCGGCAAAGCAGAGATTTGCAGCTAGCGTCAAACAAGTCCTCTCTTTCTGCTCTCAACTCCCAAAACATTAGCGCTGAAACCCCTCCCGGCCAATTCCGTCTCCCCCCACCCGCTCCACAAACAGGCCAAGATGCGGGCGGCACAGCAGAGATTCGCAGCAAGAGACAAACAGGGCGTTCCTCGTATCATCTCGTGTCCTCCCCTCCGAATCTCCCCTTTCCCCTCTCCCTCTACCCCTTCCCCCCTCCACAAACAGGCCAAAATGCGGGCAGCACAGCAGAGATTCGCAGCAAGCGTCAAACAGGACCCGGGAAAGGGGGCAGGCAAGAATGAGGACGAAGAGGAGGATGAGGAAGAGGAGGAAAGGGAGAAGGGACGGATGGGGAGAGGGGGGGTCTTTTCTGGGAGGGATGTGGAGATGGGAGGGGTGGAGGAGGAGGGAGGGGAGAGGAAGTCAGGCAAGAGGCGGAAGGGGAAGGCAGTGGTCGTTGAGGAGGAGGAGAGGGAGTGCGTGTTGTGCAGGGAGGGAGACAAGGGCGGAACGTCTTCCCCACTGTGTCACATCGTTTTCTGCCAGGTGCTGTGCTCCGTCCGTGCCTTCTGTCTCCGTAGCTGCCTTCTTTCTCTGTGCCCCTTGGTCAAGTAGTTTAGTTCTGAGACGTCTCAGAACTAACCTACCTAACCAGGTGCTGTGCTCCGTCCGTGCCTTCTCTCTGTAATTGCCTTCTTTCTTTGTGCCCCTTGTTGCTCGCGTTTCTGTTTCCTCCAGTGGATATCCTGGCTTCGTTGGGAAGACCTAGTCATGTGCACCTGTCGTCTCCCCTTCATCCACTTCGGTTCTTGATGCTACTGTCTCACCTCCTCTCTCTCCTCCCCTCCCCCCATTTCCCTCTTTCCCTCCCATTCCCTCCCATTCCCTCCCTCAAGCGGTCCATTTATTAATAGGCAAGCAAATTTAATCCAGAATCCCCCCATTCCGTCCCATTCCCTCTCTCTCTCTGAATCTTCCCAGAAGTCTCGCCTCGTCGGCCTCTCCAGCCGACTCACTCCCACCTGGCAAGGGGGCGCCCGTCCCTCTGCCGCTACTGCTCTTGCTGCCTCCCCTGGCGCTACTGCTGCTGCTGGCGGTGCTGGTGCTGCAGCACCCACAGGGGCAGCAGCAAGAGCAGCAGGTGCAACTGGGGCAGGTGCAACTGGGGCAGGCGGAACGGCAGGTGCTGCTGGTGGGTGGCTGGCTGGTCTAGGACTCGGGGAAGGGGCAGGGACGAGGGGAGGGGGAGGGGCAACTGGTGGAGGTGCTGCTGGGGAAGGTGGGACTGGAGGGCGGCAGCAGGGTTTGGGGCAAGCAGTTATCTTGCTGGGGGGAGCACGGGAAGGTGCAGGTGCAGGGGCAGGGGCAGGGGCAGGAGCGGGTATAGGCGCAGGTGAAGGGACAGTAAGGACAGGAGCGACAGTCCCAGAAACAGGCACAGCACCAGCAACAGCAACAGGAACGATAGCAACAGCAGGCACAGCAACAGCAGGCACAGCAACAGCAGCAGGAAGAGGAGCAGGAACAACAACGACTACAACAGGGACTTGGGTGCAAGCCACCGAGTTCCTAGACTGGATCAGAGCCACTCTCAGGGAAGGGGGAGGGGGGCCTGTGACTGTACAGGGGGCGCGGGGCGAGTGGCAGGTGGACGGCGAGGATCTGATGGATATCCTGCAGCAGGAGCTACCGGGGGAGGTGCGATTCACCACCACTATAGTCACAGGGGACGGGTGGGCTGGGGGAGGGGTGGGAGGAGGGGTGGGAGGGGGTGTTGGAGGGGGGGTTGGTGCGCTTGGGACGGGTCTGGGGGCGGGTGGGGTGGTGGAGAGAGGGGGAGGAGGGGGAATGGAGTAGGAGGAGAGGAGAGAAGAGGTGAGGGGGAGACGGTGGAAGGGGAGATAGAGGGTGGGGGGAGGGAGGAGGGGGGAGCTGGGGTAGGAGGTAGAGAGGAGGGGGCTAGAGGTGAGGGGCAGCAGGAGAGGGAGCAGATGGTGGTGCGGGTGGGAATGATGGTGCTGCTTCAACCGCTTCTGATTATAACGAGGATGGCAATGGAAGTGGCAGTGCTGAGGAGGAGGAGGAGGAGGAGGAGGGGGGGGAGGAGGGGGAGGAGGAGGGGGATGAAGATGAGATGATGGATGGACAGGGGTTGCTGCTTCTGGGAGAGAACGAGCTGGGAGACGCAGGGGAAGAGATGTTGTCAGATACTGATGGTGATAGCGCCGCGGAGGATGATGACGATGATCATGATGATGATGATGGTGGTGGTGGTGGTGGAGATGGGGATGGGGATGGGGATGGTGATGAGATGATGCTAGATGCTGCTAGTCTAGGGGTGGGAGAGGAGGAGCGGGAGGAGCGGGAGGTGTGGGCGGATGGGGAAGAGGACCCAATGGGGGAGGGGGAGGAGGGGGCGAGGGAAGGGGACACTCCCATGGGGATGGAAGTTGAAGGTGCTTTCGCCACTACTGCTACTGCTAATTCCGCTGCTACTGCTGCTACTGCTGCTGCTACTACTGCTGCTACTGTGGGAAATGATGCTGCTGTTGCTGCTACTGCTACTGCTGCTGCTGCTGCTGCTGCTGCTGCTGCTGCTGCTGCTGCTGCTGCTGCTTCTCCTGCTGCGACAGGAGCTATGGCTGCTGGTTTAGCTGCGGATCAAACAGCAGCAGAAGAAGAAGCAGGAGCAGGAGCTGGAGCACGATCAGGATTAGCAGCAGAATTAGCAGCAGCAGAAGCAGAATTAGCAGAAGCAGAAGCAGAATTAGCAGCAGCAGAAGCAGAAGCAGGAGCAGGAGCAGGAGCAGGGGCAGGAGCAGGATTAGCAGCAGAAATAGCAGCAGCAGAAGCAGAAGCAGAAGCAGCAGAAGCAGACTTAGCAGCAGCACAAGCAGAATTAGCAGCAGCAGCAGCAGAATTAGCAGCATCAGCGGCAGGGGCAGAATCAGCAGCAGCAGAAGCAGAAGCAGCAACAGCAGCAGAAGCAGAAGCAGAAGCAGCAGCAGCAGCAGCAGCAGCAGCAGCAGTGGAGCGGGCGGGTGCAGGAGGCGTGGACGCTCAAGGCGTGGGTAGAATGGGAGCATTAGGAGCAATTCATGCAACAAGGCAGGCAGGAATGGAGGTTGCTACAGGCGGTGGTACAGGCACTGCTACAGTCCTAGGCGCAGGAGCAGCAGGGGCAGCAGGGGCAGCAGGGGCAGCAGGGGCAGCAGGGGCAGCAGGGGCAGCAGGGGCAGCAGGGGCAGCAGGGCCCACTGCAACAGGAAGGGTGCGAGGGGGAGATGGGGGAGATGGGGGAGAAGGGGGGACACGAGCAGGCGAGGGGGGAGCCGCCAGGGGGAGGCTGGACACAGTGCAGGCAGTAGCAGGGGAGGTTTTTCGAGGCTTCTGGATGAACATTCCCCCATCAGGCGGCACTGCCAGGCTGAGGAGGAGGGGCATCTCGGGGAGGGCGGAACTGTTTGGGCAGGGCGGGGGAGGGGGAGAGGGGGGGGAGGAGAGGGAGGATGGGATGGTAGGGGGAGGGATGGCGAGTGGGGTGTGTGTGAAGGGGTGTGGCCACGTGATTCACCACTCGTGCATGGACCAGTACTTTTCAAGTCTGTACCAGCGGTGAGTGGGTATCAGTTAGGAGTGCTTACCAACAGTACATGCTCGTAAGAGGCCACTTTGAGTTGACTCAAAGGCACCTTGCCGGGAAGGGGTATGGCCATGTGATTCGCCACTGACACTTGTGCATGGACCAGTACTTCTCAAGTCTCTACCAGCGGTGAGTGGTGTATCAAGTGGGGTTGTTCGACAAGGGTGCTTGTCTATATTTGGCGTGAGGTGACGTTTGAGCCACCTGAAAGGGCATCTGGCTGGCAGGGGAGGGGCTCGTGATTCACCACTCCTGCATGGAGCAGTGCTTCTCAAGTCTCTCCCAACGAAGATCAGTGGTGTGTCGAGTGCGGCTGTGATGTCTTTTGAGGCGCCTCAAAAGAATTTTGAGGCGCCTCAACGAAGATCAGTGGTGTGTCGAGTGCGGCTGTGATGTCTTTTGAGGCGCCTCAAAAGAATTTTGAGGCGCCTCAACGAAGATCAGTGGTGTGTCGAGTGCGGCTGTGATGTCTTTTGAGGCGCCTCAAAAGAATTTTGAGGCGCCTCAACGAAGATCAGTGGTGTGTCGAGTGCGGCTGTGATGTCTTTTGAGGCGCCTCAAAAGAATTTTGAGGCGCCTCAACGAAGATCAGTGGTGTGTCGAGTGCGGCTGTGATGTCTTTTGAGGCGCCTCAAAAGAATTTTGAGGCGCCTCAACGAAGATCAGTGGTGTGTCGAGTGCGGCTGTGATGTCTTTTGAGGCGCCTCAAAAGAATTTTGAGGCGCCTCAACGAAGATCAGTGGTGTGTCGAGTGCGGCTGTGATGTGGGAATGTTCACAAACGGTGCATGACTCATGTCCCTTAGATAGAATGTCTACATGCAGTGTGAGGTTTGAGCCGTCTTAAAGGACATCTGGCTGGCAGGGGTGTGGGCATGTGATTCCGACATCTGACTGGTGTGAAGCTTGAGCCATTCTCAGGGACATCAGAAAGGGCTGTGGGCATGGAGAATTAGGTACGGAAGTCTCATTCTTAGGGATCTTGGGTCTACATTCTCAGGGACATCAGAAAGGGCTGTGGGTGTGGGTGTGGGTGGTGTGGGTGTGTGTGAGTGTGGGTGTGGTGTGGGCTCGTGATTGCCTCATTCCTGCCCGTCTGATTAGTAAAACTGCCCCTTGTCTCCTTCCTCTTTTTCCTCTACCCTCCCCGCAACCCCTGCCAGGTACCTCAGCGGTTCGTTCTGATGAGGGCTCGTCGGCAGTGGTGGACCCTGAAGCGGTGAGTGTTCCTCCTTCCGTGGTCATCGCCTTGAGTTGAGACGTCTCAAAGCTTGATACTGAGTTTTCGTGGTTCGTT